GCTGAATACTTGTGGTCATGGTTGCCAGCCGCTGGCAGGACCGGGGATGAAAAAATGTTTTTATCGCAGAATGCAGCAAATCCCTACCACGATCTGAGAACAACTTTGGTTCTCATTAAATTGTATCTGATAATTTCTGTACCGCTCTAACGGTTAAAAGCCAAGTATACTTTCTAGATATGTTTATTTCCACTAGCCTCTTATAGAGAAATGAAAGGTGCACCAAAACATCAAATTGACGTCCTAGCAACTCAGGTTAGGAAAGAAGTTTGGACAGGAAAAACTGGGAAAGAGGCGCAGTCCAGTCGGGAGATGAGTGTAAACTTTTGGGACAAATGAAAAAGAGTTGTTCGACACAAAATCAGGAAATCTCTTTAATTTATTGCATGCATTACAAGGACCTGTTGAACGTCCTAACTCACTAGCCAATCACGCCCCCGATTTGGCCATAGCTGCATTTTTTATGTTTATTTCGACAGATACAGTAACGATCATCAGCCGACCTCACGATTCCATCGAGTTTCATGCGGGCTTGATGGCAAGTCCCATCTCGCCCGAGCATCATCAACCTCTCCAACGAGGCGCAAGCTGGTCAAGTGACAATTCGACCTCTTCGTCGCATAGTCATGAGAGCTTTGCATCCCCTTACTCAACCCAGGATGACTCAAGGCCATAGCCAAAATCTTACGACTTCGGACAAGTACCAATAAAACCTTAAAAAGCCTTAATAGGATTAGATTTAGTAAACTCAGAATTGATGAGCTTATTTTGGCCAATTAAATTGCATTCGTCCCTCGGACGCTGAGCTACATTTTTTTAAGGCGACCACATTAAAGAAAAAGCCGTATCATTTAAGGCATTCCAGACTTAACAAAGCTAGCATATACATTGTGGTATCAGTCATTTTTGCTGTAGGGATGCTGCATCAGACTTCAAAGACCCCCCTGGCAGGATGAGCAACATGGGCAAGACAATGTTGACATGTTTTTTACTTGGTCATGTACAGCAAATGCAGCAGTCAAAGTGGTCTACTGCATTTATGTCCTGGATAACCTGTAATAAGCTCGCGTGAAAAATTAGCTTTCCCTTGTGCGTCAGTGTTGCGGAAGCTGGCCGGCAAAAAACAGATACTGAGGCGTTGATGAAGCCGACAAATTTTTGAAGTTCTAACTGGCGTCAATAAGAAGACGCTGCTAGCATGAGTGTTTGAGTAGCAGGAAAAGGTGCTTGTTGAAACCAATGATGATATCAATAGTGTTGGTGATATTTGTGATGACCTTTCAAGGCAAAATATCCATTTTCATACTTTCGAGACATTCACAGGACAGGATTAATACAAAACCCAGGTGTGTTTTAAAAGTCGGCTCTTGACAATATACTTAATTAAGAGATTTATTATACCAAACTAGGCGAATTGCTCTACAGCAAATTGGCAGAATTCTACAAAACTGTTTATGTATGACTTTAACTCTCCTTCTGACGTTAGTTAATGTGCATTGCTCCGGCGTCTATGGCCTAACGAGTGGCATGCTGTTGCATTTTAAATGTGAATGTACCAAAAGCAGCTGGACTCCCTATAGCAATCGGAAAGGGTTCTATTCACTGACTCTAAGAGGATCCCACTATCGGTGTTACGCAGTTAAAGTAGACAGAAGGTGCGCTCTACCTACAACCTAGCGTCCGATGTCTGTACCAAAATGACTGATGACAATAATACCTTGATCCTTTGGTTCGCCTCTCGGTTCAGAGGTCATTAGAGCTGAACGAGAGACATTGCAGGGTTCGGGAAGTGAAAGTCAGGTTGAAGCCTTGATGAGGGCGAGCGCAAAACGTATGGAACTTAATAATGAGTTATTGATATCGAGATCAATTGTCCGGTAGTATAACAACAAATGAAAATGAAAAAAATAAATGCGCATTTTGTAAAGATAAAAAATAAATGCTCTTCTTCTTTTTTAGGCCGGACAGCTGGACAGAAAGGCAAAAATCTGCTGAAGAGTGGACAAAGAGCCAAAAATACACCAAGGCTTGCACACGTACACATAGGACCTGTATAGAGACAGACAGACAGACGGACAGAAGGATAGACAGAAAATCAGAAACAAGGATGGACATATGCACAGAAAGAC